GATCGCAATACAAATCCAACGTTCGTGGTTCCTCCTCCTCCTCCTCCTCCTCCTCCCCCTCCTCCCCCTCCTCCCGCTCCTCCTCCCTCCTCCTCCTCCCTCCCCCCCCTCCTCGTCGTCGTCCTCCTCCGCTCCCCCTCCCTCCCCATCCTCCTGCTCCTCTCCTCCTCCTCCTCCTCCTGCTCCTCTCCTCCTCCTCCTCCTCCTCCTCCTCCCTCCCGTTCCTCCTCCCCGTCCTCCTCCTCTTCCTCCTCCTCCTCTTCCTCCTCCTCCTCCCTCCCCTCGTCCTCTCTCTCCCCCCCCTCCTCCTCCCCTTCCTCCTTCTCTTCCTCCTCCTCCTCCTCCTCCTCCTTCTCCTTATCCCCCTCCTACTCCTCCTTAGGCCAGCGTGACCCTCCACAGGAGGAGTACTTAGAAATATATAGAAAACTAGTATGGGAGCGATTTCCCGATTTTTTTGACTGGGTTTGAGCATCTTTGAATTGTTGTTGCTTTTTCGTTCAAGATCTTTCCCGCTGTTTCTTGTCTACGTGTGATCATGTTGTGCATTTCTTTTTCGTTCAGCATCTGCCTGTATGGGGGACGTGCCCGACCTAACCCACATCTCGGGCCGGGGGCGCGCGCAGCTTCCACGGCGTTTTCTCTCGACGTTCCAGGGCGCCCCCCCGCTGGAAACCGACGTGCCCCACATCGGCGACTTCGGGTTCTGGGGTTCGGGGCTGGCCTGGTGGGCTGTCCTCGTCTCGCCGAAGTTCGTGCTTGCCGACGGCTTCTGACGAGCCCGTGCTGGATTTTGTGGCGGTCCCGGCCTCGTGGGGCGTCCGCAGCGGGAGCTCGCGTCAAATGTCAGGCTGGGTCTCGTCACTTTCCTGACGCCCCCGCCAGTCCAGCTCGAGCCTGACGTCTCCCCGCAGGAGGCGTGGCTCGAGGCTTTGGGTTTCGGGGCGTTTCTGTCGGCTCTCGGCGGTTCTCCAGCCTCGGGGTGCGTTCCGGCAGCTGCGCCTCGCCGACTCAGAAGAGGCAAGGCTCGAGGCTCCAGGTCTTCATGTCTGCTTTTTCCCTACCTAGGCTCTGCCTAGAAGGGTTCTTACTCTCTAGCTTAAAGGGGCTGGGCAGTGGAAAGCGCCCCGGGCGGTTCCCCCAGTCCCCGCCCCGCGGTTCCCCCAGTCGCGCCCCCTGGGTTCACCCAGCTTAGCTTAGCTTCAACTTAGCTTTAGTTTCGCTTTAGCTTAGCTTTCGCTTAGTTTTAGCTTAGCTTTAGCTTAGCTTTAGCTTAGCTTTAGCTTAGCTTCAGCTTAGCTTTAACTTAGCTTTAGCTTAGCTTTAGTTTCGCTTTAACTTAGCTTTAGCTTAGTTTTCAGCTTAGCTTTAGCTTAGCTTTGGCTTAGCTTCAGCTTAGCTTTACCTGAGTTGTAGCTTAGCTTCAGCTTAGCTCTAGCTTAGCTTTAACGTATATCTAGCTTATCTTCAGCTTAGCTTTGGCTTAGCTTCAGCTTAGCTTTAGCTTAGCTCTAGCTTAGCTTCAGCTTAGCTTTAGCTTAGCTTTAGCTTAGCGTTAGCTTAGCTTCAAGTTAGCTATAGCTTAGCTTTAGCTTAGCTCTAGCTTAGCTTTAGCTTAGCTTTAGCTTAGCTTTAGCTTAGCTTTAGCTTAGCTTTAGCTTAGCTTCAGCTTAGCTTCAGCTTAGCTTTAGTTTAGCGGTAGCTTAGCGTCAGCTTAGCTTCAGCTTAGCTTTAGCTCAGCTCTGGCTTAGTGTCAGCTTAGCTTCAGCTTAGCTTTAGCTCAGCTCTAGCTTAGCTTCAGCTCAGCTCTAGCTTAGCTTCAGCTTAGCTTCAGCTTTGCTTTAGCTTAGCTTCAGCTTAGCTCTAGCTTAGCTTTCAGCTTAGCTCTAGCTTAGCGTTAGCTTAGTTTTAGCTTAGCTTTAGCTTATATGTAGCTTATATTTAGCTTAGCTTTAGCTTAGCTTCCGCTTAGCTTGAGCTTAGCTTTAGCTTAGCTTTAGCTTAGCTTTAGCTTAGCTTTAGCTTAGCTTTAGCTTAGCTTTAGCTTAGCTTTATCTTAGCTTTAGCTTAGTTTTACTGTTACTACTAATGCTGCTTTCACAGGGGCTCCAACTCCAAGGTAGGGTCGCACTGGGATAATTGTTTGTTTGAGGACTCCGCGATGCCGTCCTCGTTTCTCGCCTCACCGTCCGCACGTTCCCTCAGGCTGGAGCCTTGGGTCAGTTGATGGAGAGACGCTTCGCCCACCGGTGAGAAACCGACCAATCCACCTAAACATCTTGATTAAAAACGGGCCACAGTGGGGGCCCTCCTTCTGGGTTTCGATGCTTTTGCGATTCAGAGCGCGACGTTCCCACACCAAAAATCCATGGGCCTCCTTGGGTCTCAGGGTTGGGTTTCTTGTGGAAGGTTTCTTGTGGACTGGCCCCCACTGTGTTCTTCCGTTGATGGCAGATTGCGCGGCGCACGAACACCTTCGACGTAGCCCACGGATGACCGACGCCGCGTGCACATCTCAACGGCAACCGACACCAACGAAACGTCCCAACTGGCAACCGGCAGCACGGCGCCACCGACACACGATGAAGAAAGATGCCCGGCCACACCATCCCACAGTTACCCGCAGCATCGTCGCGACGCACCGCCGACCGGCACAGGCACAGATGCTTCTCGCAATATTCGTTTCCGTCGTGCTTCCGCCGTGATCGAGTGGGATGGCTGCTTTCGCCGGGTCGGACATAACCTCGGAGAATCGGGAGCTTTGAGGCAGGGGGTCAATGCAAACGGGGTTCAGCCAGGGCACCGGATCCTGCAGGATCCTGCGAAGACCCCCTCTGGTTGACCCCGGTTAGCGAGCCGCTCGTGGCCGCGAGGGTGCCGCGCATATCGGCTGACCCGGGTTTGCGCAGCTCTGCGTTGCAGTTTGTTGTCCTGCATTGCAGTTTTTTGGTTTCTTGCTGACCTGGGTCTGATTGACTCGGGTTAGCAGATCCCCGAGAGAAATGCACAACAGAAATCATTACAGGGCAGCTTGCATCAAACAGAAAACATGTTGACAGTTCATGAGTACCCATGGATGCGCAGGCACGCGCCGTTCTCTCGAGCGGGGTATGGAAACAAGAACATCGTTTGGCAGTGTTTGATCACAAAGAGGGAAAAGGAGGATCACAACGACCCGATGCAAGACCAAGAGCCCGAAGTTCTTCTCATGCGGTGTTCGAGAGCAGGAGGGGGGTCCATGAGGAGGCGGAATCTGGAAACAAGACTGCAGATCAGGGATAGCAGCACGGGGAGGAGGGCAGTGGGACGTTCCACGCTTTGGCCAGTGCCGGGGACGTTCCGGCCATCTGGGGTTTGGAAAAGGGAGTTTGGGGTTTTGCCTGTCTGGACGTGACCCCTGGGGTTGGTTCACTGGCGGAGGAGTTCACGAACATGGACTGCATAACGTACCTGAAGCTGGCGGACGGTCGCGGTTGGGTTGTGGCCAGGAGGCGTCGTTGGTGGGAAATCGTGCATTGTCCACCTATGCCTCTCTCTTCCTCTTCCATGTTTTTCTCCCTCTTCCTCTCTTTCTCTCTTTCTCTTGTTTTTGTTCTCTCTCTCTCTCTCGCTCTCTCCCTCTCTTCTCTCCTCTACATATACACAGTATATACATGTGGGACCGATCCGGGGCACATGGCCCCAGCCGGTCTCTTTTGTTTGTTGTTTATGTACGTCTCTCTCTCTCTCTGCCTCTCTCTCTCCCTCCCCCTCTCTTTCTCCAAGTACACACATACAGACAAGCATGCATACATGCATACATACATGCATGCATACATGCATGCATGCATTCATGCATGCATACGTACATGCATGCATGTATATACATACACCTATACACATGCATAACTGTACACAAACATACGCATATGCATTCGCATATACACATGTGCATATGCATATGCATTATGCATGGACGTAAACACATATGCATAGACATATAGATAAGCATGTGCACACGCCTTCACATACACATACACATGTGCATATACCGATACCTATGCACATACATGCACACATGCACGTACACACTCATGTACATATATTTAATAATATACATACAGGCGTCTATACTTATACGTAAAGACATACATATACATCATATACATACATATACGTGTAGATCTCTCTCTCTCTCTTTCTCCCTCTTTCTCGATGTATATATATATACACATATATGTATGTGTATATATGGATGTGTGTGTATTGCTGTCTGTGGCAAGCCTGGCCAAGCGCTTGGGTAATAACGCAGCAGGAAGGTTGTTGAGTGCAGTGTCGGAATAGCGCATTTCTGACGTCTGGATTGAATTCGGACAGGTCGTTAATTCGACCTTGTCATCGTCCGCGCGGGAGGAAGGTTCTCAAGTTCACGTTCTGCGACAATCCAGCGATTGGTCTGAATGGGGGAGGGTCTTGATCTCGACTTCGTTTTCGTCCGCGCGGTGGGAAGGAGGAGGGGGGAAAGAAAGAACTGAGGACGAGGAGCAGAAGGCTTCTTTGGGCTCTCTTGAGGCCTCCTGGGGGCCTCCTTGGGTCGTTTGGGGGCCTCCTGGGTCCTCCTGAGGTCCTCTAGGGGTTTCCTTGGGCACCCTCGGAGGCCGACCTGGGGGCCTCTCTGGGGCGTCTTTGTGCCCTCTTGGAGCCTTTTCTGGGTCCTCTTGGGAGCTCCTTGGGCAATGTTTGGGCCCGGTTGGGCTGACGTGTGGCCCTCTTGTGGGCCTCTTGAGATGTCTCGACGCGTTCTTGAGAGCCTCTTGCGACGTCTTCTGCCATCTTGGGCCGTCTGTCGTGTTAGTCGCACCTTCCCCGGCTTGGACACCGTCTTCAAGATCATCTTGGCCGTCTGGATACCACGAACAAACGCATCCGCCCCACGCAATGCTAATGACAGGGCTTGCTCTGTTTCGCCCCGAGCGGGCGGGGGCTCACCCGGTCTAGGACCCGAGGAACTGGCATGCGAATCAGCAGACGAGCTTGTAGGGGATGCTGGAGGTGTCGACGTCGTGCGCCTTGGGGGTGTAGACCACGTCTTTGAAGTAGACGACACTTGTGCAGTAGAAGATCGCGCCTGCGAAGAAGAAGGCCGTGCCTGCGAAGAAGGAGACTGCGCCTGTGACGGGGACCACCGCACCTGCGAAGAAGTAGATCGTACCTCCGAAGTAGTCCGGGCCTTCCGAGAAGAAGAGCTCGCCACCCATGGTGTCGACGTTGACCGTTGAAAACCTGACCCGCCACGGAGTCGCGTGAGTGCCCGTCGGAGTTGTGTCTGATGAATCCCGACACGCTGGCCCCAACTGTTGAGAATCGAAACGCACTCGGCCACCAACAACTTCGGTACAGACCAACGTGGATGTCTCCACAGTCCAGGTAAACAACGAAGACCATATGGTGGAGGTGGGCACGTACAGCTCGTCGGCCTAGGTATATATTTTACCTTGTACGTGTGGCAAAATGAAGGGGCATTGATCTTGTCCTTCCACGTTGACTGGCGTCCGAAGGTGTACCTCACCCTGATGCGGATCCATATCCGAGAGCCTTCCAATCTGATTGAAGAAACAAGACGCCTCACTTCAGCACGAAACCAACGAAGATGTTTTCCATGCTCCATCTCGTATGGGACTTTGAGAACAGGGATACGTATGCAAGGAAGCCGTAGACGTCGAATAATGATACCGATGACCTTGAACGCATGAAAAACTCGATTGTGAGACTGGAGTAGGTCAGGAGCCAACATCGCGGCCCAAACTAAGAAAGATGCAATCTGCTGCATCGGCCTCTGTGGTACACGTAGGGGGGGTGCGTGGACGAGCAAGCCATGCCAGGACCAAGCCAATTCGACGGCGTTCCCATAGCCATAAGGGTCCAACTTCACCCGTGTCTGCATAGTGTTGCCTCTGCTGTGCCACATAGAGGGTCGAGAAAGGAGCCGTGTCGGATAGAACAGGACGAACATCTGGATGAACCGATTGAAGCCATGGGGATGCACGAACATGAGAGACGCGCGCGTCGCCAGCGGGGAGGACGTCCGCGGGGAATACGTCGATACCGAAAGCCCTGGAGGAGATGATCGCCTTGGCGGACCTTGTGTGTGGCATCTTGTGATGTATCTGCTCGGTTGCAACTGGGTTGGAAGCGTCGGATCATCAAAGCCTCGTAGTGGTACGCTGCCGACGACGTCGGAAAAAAAAACAGTAGGGGGAAGAACGCGAGGTCGCCAAGACTCCTGCGAAGAAGAGCATACCTAGGTCGAAGTCAGTCGCCATATGTCGGGCAAAGGATACATCTGAGATGTTCTGAGAGACGGCCTGCAACTCCTGAGATCCGTGCCCGCTTGATGTTTGTTTTTCCAACATACAGTCTAACTGAGTTGAAGAGAACGTAGACGCTGGATGTTAGTTCAATCGCACCGTGTGTAATGAAGGAGTGGGACGCTGTTCTCGCCCACTGTGCTACATGGCTGTCCGACATTAGATGCTTGCATATGTAGGGCCACTCCGACGGTAGCAGCCGACAATTTCTTGCCGCCCACGTTGGAACTGGACACAATTGGAGAGCACGATGAATACGTATGATACCTGAGACCGCGATGATGTTTGCAATTGCCGAGAACAGGTATTGGCCCTTGATCGGGCTTTTGCCCATCACGGAAGAGGAAACGACCCAGGAAATGGAGCATGCAGGATAATGTTGACAACGTTGTCGGTGCTGAAAGTAGTGACCATGAAACCACGTCTTGAAACCGAAGTTCTGGGAGCCTCTGAGGTTCAGGAGATAAACGTTTGATGAAGGCTTCTGCTGAGGTGATACCAGTAACACACTGCGTTGGGCGAGGGCACTCGAACCGTACAGGGTGAAGACCTTCGTCACCGTCACCAGTAGCACAACAGGAATGGCATAGTAGAAGGAGTAGGAGGAACCTGAGGTACCAGCAACTGCAGCAACCTCGATCATTTAGCAGCCCCAACAGTCGTCCTGGCGCTCCATCTCCATGAGGGGTCTTAGAATGGGGAGTCGGGGTTCTACCGGAGTCCTCTTCGAAGTTTGCGCAGCGGCGACGGCCCATCATATACCACCAGTCGCCTGGTGAAGGACTCGACGGAGGAGTTCGCAGAAGAGGGGCTGGAAGACCGTCTTCGTCTAAACCATCTTCTGGCTCTTGTGAGGGAGTCCTGATCATGATCTCCCACTGTAGGCTTAGCGTCAACATACGATCTTGATAGAGATGTTGCCATATTTCTCTGAACCATGCTGTGAAACGTATTCTGTAAGTGTCGTCACCAACAGTGTAGCTGCCAATGATGTTGAAGATGCCCGTAACCGCAAGGATCCTTTTCCATGCTGACCGAAATGCTGGCTGCCACGCCAATGGGTTGTCGCAGGAGACGTAATATAAAGAATGCAGGGAACTTGGACACGCGATGTGCTCCGAGAGACACACCACGAAGGAATCCGCAGCCACACCGTCGACAAAGAAGCCCGACCTGTGGGCGGTGATATGGAGGGTACAATCAGCGGAGAGTGTATGCACCTTTCTCTACTGAGCGCTGCTCGGCGAGACGGCCCGAGTCGATGGCTGTGAGCGCCGTGTGGGCTCTCGACACGCCCGAGCTTGAACGTAAGCGGCAGCAGAAGCATCTAGCTGTCTGGACTCTCGCACAGGCACGAGGGGATCAAATCTCTCCTCTCCTCCGCCGCTCGTCCGACCGTTTCTAATTGCTTTAGAATAGGTCTCCGAATGGTCATAATGATCAGAGGGGGAGGGGGAGGGGGAGGAGGCGGATGAGAAGGAGGCGGAAAAGGGCAGAGGACAGGTAGGGGGGGAGGAGGGAGGAGGAAGAGGATTAGGAGGATGAAGGGGAACGTTTAGGAACGTTTAGTTTAACCGGAGGCCCACTTGGGCCCCGCAACCCAGGCAGGAGGAACAAACACCACGCAGGCACCGAAGCCCCGTGCGTGGCCTTAGCTCCCCAAGCCTGCGGGACCCTCCTGGGGATTGGTGCAGGCTCGGACTCGGTTCGAGAGTTCCCACAGCAGCCTCCGAAGCCTCCTCGCCATGTGCTGCGGCAGCGGGGAGGACCTTTTGGACACGGAGGGTACGCCGAGGCGGGCCATCTCGACGGGGAAAAAGACCTCTCCGAATGCGACTGAGATCCCCATTGCCACCGCGATCTCTCACCCCGGCAGGAACGACGCAGGAAACGCGGGTCGCCATCGCTCTCTATCCAGGTGAAGAATCCACAACGGGCACGGTGCTCGATGCAATGGTGCGGGACAGCACGCACGGTGCGGGAGGGGTGGATGTCCAGGGCTCCTCTCCCCCTTTCTGCGGCTTAGCCGCCCCCACAGGCACGGGTGCGACGCCACGAGCCTCGAGCGACGGCCCGTCTTCCTCGTCATGGGGGCCTGCGCACGCGAGAGCTGGCCGCAAAGCAGAGCAGCCGGCCCTGCCCGACCCTGCACGGGCATGTACAGACCCAGCGGCCAGTCCCACACTGCTGCAGCCCGTGCGACGAGGAGGCACAGGCCTGGGCGGCGGCAGGAAGGACGGGCCGACGCGGCCCCGTGCAACGAATGCCACGCTGCTGGTCAGCCTCGGCCGCGGGCTCGAGGGCGCCGCCCGCCCGCCCGCAGACCATGCGCGCCTCCACGCCGACAACGTCGGCGTGCGGCCCTGCCTGCCCCAGAGAGCCCCAGCCGCCAGCGGCGTTGCCCATCGCCCGCTCGAGGTCCGTCTCCGACCTGAGCAGGTGCAGGTGCTCGTCCTGGTCCGTGTGCGCGGGCACCCAGACCACGCCGATCTCGCCAGGGGGCCCGCGCCGCCGCGCCCGGCAAGCCTGCTGCCACAGGTCCCCGTTGGCACCTCCAGACCGGACGGCTGCCAGCCTTCTCTCCCAGCAACGCCAGAGAGGTTCGTGGTCAGTCACGTACCTCAGGTTGCCGCCGACGGAGTCCAGCGCCAGCACGAGGCCGAGGATCTCAGCGCGTGGTACCGTCTGCCGTCTGCCTGGCACGGGCACGGCACGGAACCAAGCCAGCTCAGACCACGCGCCTGCTTCGTCTTGGCCCAGGACCACGATGTTTGTGGCACGGCGTCGGCGCCTCGGGTCCTCGGAGTGCTTTCCACCCGAGCTACCGCCGTAGACCACCACGAGGCCGTCGTCACGCCTAGCAGCCTCCAGGGTGTCGGCCGAGCCGAAGGACACCGCGGCCTGCTCCGCCCGCTGGTCGCAAAGGTCAGTGGTGGTCATGCGGGAGGCGGCCACACCGCGCAACCACATGCCAGGCGATGACTCGTGGACTCCGAGCGCACGTGGCACCAGGGCTGCAGTGGAGTGGAACTTCTCGCCCAGAGGAGGAGGAAGAGGAGGAGGAAGAGGAGGAGGGAGGAGGAGGAGGAGGGAGAGCAGGAGGAGGAGGAGGAGGAGGAGGAGGAGGAGGAGGAGGACGAGGAAAGGAGGAGGAGGAGGAGGTGAGTTGGAGGAGGGGAAGGATGAGGAGGAGGAGGAGGAGGAGGAGGAGGAGGAGGAGGAGGAGGAGGAGGTGAGTGGAGAAGGAAGGAGGAGGGGGAGGGGGGAGGGGGAGGGCAAGCTAGGTGCGCTCGCGTCATATCTGACGTCCTACCCCTCCCTCCCATCCCTTACCATGGCGCTGATTTTCTCTATCCGCGGACGCGTGTCGTAGCGGACCTGTGGCTCCGCGCGCGCGTGCGTAACTAGTGGGTGGTGGTGCGCGTGCGTGCGTGCGTGCGTGTGTGCGTGGTTGTGGTGGTGTGCTGGTGCTGGTGCTGGTGCTGGTGCTGGTGCTGGTGCTGGTGCTGGTGCTGGTGCTGGTGCTGGTGCTGGTGCTGGTGGCTGGTGCTGGTGCTGGTGGTGGTGGTGGTGGTGGTGGTGGTGGTGGTGGTGGTGGTGGTGGTGGTGGTGGTGGTGCGGCGCGGTGGTGGCGGGCGGATGGGCGCGCGAGAAAGAGGCCCGCGCTGGGGCGAGAACGCCATCCTCAACGACGGAGGCCAAACACCGATCCGAAAATGAGGCCCACGCTGCAGCGGGAGCACGATTCGGAACGATTCGGGAGCAGAAATGAGGCCGGCGCCTCAGCGAGAGCAGCATTTTAGAAAAAAACACAAGCGAAAACCCAACTCCGGGGAATCCTGTGTGTAAAAAAACAGTACGCGGGGGGGTGCCGAATATCTTCCGGACGCCATCAGGGGAAGTGGGAGAGTATTT